ATCAACAAACATTGCATTGTCTTTCTGTTGTCCTAAGTAAACTCGGCCGACATTCGGAGTCGTTGGAATACGCGAACGAGGCTGTTTCACTAGGAAGCGACAAATTATTTGTATTTACTTCAGCGGGCGGACTGTCGGTACACGTTGGGGGACTACGCCGGGGTCTTTACCGACATCTCACTTATTCTGCAACTTGGCCACGAGAGTGCGGAATTGTACTATTTGCGTGGCCGTTCCCACTATGCGCTGCACGCCTTTCAGGATGCGGTGGATGATTTGTTGCAGGCGGCCACGCTTCAGCCCCTGCTAAATGACAAGGCTGATTACTCCTTTGCTCTTGGCGAGGCATATCTACAATCTGGGCGGAATTATGATGCTGCTGAGGTGGCCTTTTCGAAGGCCATCAACTCTCACCCTAACCCTCCATCGTTTTTCTTTGATGAGCGAGCGAAAGCACGACAGCGTCTCGGTGATGCAGCGGGGGCGTTGGCGGATCTGAACGTTGTGCTGCGCGAGGATGAGAGTGATCCCACGGTGTTGCTTCGACGATCTTTTGCAAACAAGGCACTTCAGCAGTATGACGCGGCGGCAAGGGATTTTGAGAAGGCAAAGTCGATCGATGCTGTTAGGGACGCGTTGATGTGCATTCCATATGAGTTGTTTTTCACGATTGACGAAGTTGTGTGGGATGTCACGGGTTGAAATGAAGATTACACACATGTGCGCAAAAGGCAAAAGAAAAATAAAATAAAAATAAAATGTGAATTCTCTGTCTGAAGAGGTGATGAAGGGAGTGAGCGAGGGTTGCAGTTCATTACAGTTACATGTACAGCGGGGAACAAGGTGACAGCAATTTGTTTATCATTATTTATTAAACGCATTCCTTTTTGATGTCTTGTTGTTGTTTTGCCTGCTGCAGCAGCTAGTGACTTTATTTTTTTTTGTTTGACAGTTTTCTCTCTGCGTTATTACTATTTTTTTTTTTGTTTTCGTTTTTTTTGTGTGCCTCTCTTCTTTCCTTTTTTTTTTTCTTTTTTCTTCTACCGTCATAATTGAACGAAATGAGTGGGGCGGAGGTAGGGGAAAAGAGAGAGGAAAATTTACTTCATTTCCTCGTAGTAGTATTTGCAGGTTTTCTCTGCTCTCTTCCTTACCGAGCCCGTTCTTTTTTTTTTATTATCCCTGTGTGTGTGTGTGTGTGTTCGTGTTTCTTCTCATCACATAAGTGCGGAATTGGGATGCTGCGGTGCTGCTCGTCCCTTTTTTGTGCAGCCGTGTCTACGGATGCGATATTTAGGCGGGCATTTGGCTCTCAAAGCATTCTCATTGACCTCATTCCGGTAAAGAAGCCGATGATTGAGGGCTCGCTTAGCTGGTTTGTCGAGGAAAACATTGAGATTGTTCTTGTGTCGGGTGTGCGGGGCACATGCTCTGACGCGGTGACGGAGAACGTGAAGCGGACGGCGGTGCATCTTTTGCAGCAGTGCGGGGATGGGGATGCGGTGAAGGGCTGCCACACAGTCAGGCGATGCATTGAGGGGGCGAGGGCGACGCGGAACCTGCTTCACCGTCTCGACCTTCAGGTGCGTCTACGCATCTGGGGCCCGATGGTGATGATGATGATGATGATGGAGGAATCCTCGTCATCGTCATTACCCACTAAAGCAGCTATGGCAGCTAAGGTAAGATCTGAGGGGGAACGTAAAGGGGAATTACACTGTTCAGTTTATGAGGCTGATGCGTGGGACCCTTATAGAAATGAACGACACATCATGGATGTATCGAAGTCGCCATCGGTGCAATCCTTGTGCGATCTCCTGCGGGAGGCCCTACGGATTTTGCGACGTGATGCGGAGGTGAAAGGCCGACAGTTTGCTCTGGCCTCATGTCAAGAAGCAAAGTTGCTTCTTACAACAGCGACGCCCGTAGCCTCCATATATAGCGATATTTGTTTCCCCCAGGGAAAAATATGGGGGGAAACGGGGGGCGCTTTTTCGAAGGATCCGGTACTGCGAAATTTGCTGTGTCCCACAACCTACGCAGTGGACATGGAGTTTCTCCGTTATGAAAGGGATGATGCGAGTGCTTTTGGTATTATTGCGGGCAAATGGGCGATACACGATGATGCGGGAAACACAGAGAGGTGTGACGTGCCATTGATGACGCTTAGGGACAGAGCCGGCCTTATGCATCAAGGCAGGTGCCATGAATTAGTACGCCAAGAAACTGAGATTCTAGATGATTCTGCAATCAAGTCATTGGAAGATGCGGGGTCTTTTGTTCGTACGAAAAATTTGAGGGATCCTGAAATTGTTTCGACGCTTTTGTGTTCAATTTGTTCACAACCGCTTCTTCAAATTTTGCTTTTTCATGTCTCTTGTGACATTTTGTGCGGCCAATTAGCCCCGACAAAAGCGGAGGATTTTGTTGCAAGTTGTGGGCGAGTTGTTATCGACGCGTGGCTAAGTGAATGGGGTCACCCCGTGACGGTTCCTATGGCACCGCGTTGTTTGAAATACCCTAATCCTTTTTTATTCCTGCAGGAGTGTCTGCCACTGGAATTTGGCACAAGAGCGATGATGCTGGCATCTGTTGGATCTTTACATTTTGGATATCATCTGGCCGTCACGGCTGGTGGGCGTGTGTCGACAATTGTGGGTGGTTTCAGTTCTGCTGCGACGGCGTTATCGACGCTTTTTCCGTGGCACGTGGCCACACCACAGCGAAGTTTTGCGGTTGTGGAGCCGACGCATCATGGTCAAAAGAACACCCAAACTTCGAGTAATTCCCAGGCAAGGAAGGAGGAGAAGGGCCCATCGAAGTCACGTAAGACTTCCAATGAGCACGCTGAGGCAAACCCTTCATTTGTCGTGGAGGTTATTGACATGGAAGCCACACTTAGAGCTATGGGCGTTGCCTCGGGGAAGTTTATTCAGGATGTTGTGGAGTATTCGGATGCGTCAGGTCGGACTCTTTTTCGGTTTGAACAGATGGACTCACTGCAGGGGATTGAACGATTTGTGAAGCGTCTTCGGCGAAGTCAATCCCCATGTTTTGCTTCTATTTTCGTTCATAACAACAAGAGAGCCCCTGCTCTTCTCTTGTGGCGAGCCTTTGCTGGAATTTCAGCGCATAAAGCGCCACACTACATAAAGCGTATTCGGATCCCCATACCTTTAGTTTCAGATGAGTTTTTTTCAATTCGCTTTTCGGGTTTGCTGGAAATGGAACAAAAAGATTACGCATTGCTTAGCATTCTTGAACGCTACTCCAAAGACCCGAAGCAATGGCCTTTGAAGCGTCTGTCACCATGTTTTTTTAACCTATGGCGGCTGACGCGAGGAATCATTGAGGCCATTCTACGTCATGATCCACTGTTTTGTTACACCATTAAGAGTGCTCCAGTAGAGGTGCAGAATAATGAATTTGTTTTGTGTTTCTACTCCGGGGATGAGAAGACCCATGAGACGCACATAAAGGAGAAGTGCTTTCTCCAAGAGGTGCGGCGTTGCTTTGCTCAGTATGCCGCACGATGGGATATCGAAGTCCCTTCTGTTGAGACAATGGCGTTTGCGTTTATGGAGATTAGAAAGAGTTTATCGATTTCTTTTAGGGCTTTTGTGACGGCATTTTTACAAAATAGCGTGATGTTGCTACAAAAAGAATCGAAGGCGTCGTTGAAGCTCCAAATTGTTGATGACGTGAGGATTAATCTTTGTAGTGCTAGTTTTGCTCAAAACGAACCGGTGAAAGAGATGCTTTCCAAGACATTTTTGGCGGAACAGTTCCCCGAAGCGCTACCGCTAGTCCACCTGCTGCAGCGGGCACACACTTTTATTTTACTTAGTACTGGAGAGGGGGAAACGTTCTTTCGGTGTCAAGACACCGCTGAGAGACCGGGCTTCCGCTGGGAGCTGCAGAAGATTTCTGGTGGCGTGGAAAATGTGACGGTGTTGGACGCGGCGGAGGGGTCGTCGCGGTTCGAGGCATTAAAGGCGCTCTTGGAAAAAATCGCTGGTAAAGGTGAAGGTGAGTCCTTCCGTGCAGCGCTCGGCAAGGGAAAGGCGGTTCCCACCAGTCTGGCGTTTGCGAGGACGATTGAGGACTATCAAGAGGTGCTTGCACAAAAGCTTGGGATGAAGAAGATTATTCATGAATATGACGTGAAACGTAAATTGCTGATAGTGAAAGGAGTCTACGACAAGGAACTTGCGACCGGGACCAAAGAAAGCATCATTCGAGTCATTTCACTCGGTAAGCTGTGTTCTGTTGGGGATATTATTCACAGGTACTATCGCAGAGAACTTCATCTTGCCAATCCACCGCTTTTGGAGGATCATGAGCAACTGCGAACCGCCTCCTTGGAATGGATATACAAATTGTGCCAGACACATTTTGCATTACCGTTGCCACCGCTGGAAAAATCAATTGTCATACAACCAGAGAATAAGGGATGGAAGGTTGTACTGCGTCTTCCGGCGAGAC